TGCTCCCCCCGCATTAATCATACATAAATCTAAATGTAATTAATTTATTTGAAAGCTTGATTAACAGATAATCCTGATTAAAATAATCTTTTTTTTTACCATTGTAAGAATTAGATCTGGATCTACAATTTTATGCGGTTACTCGAAGAGGTTTTCTTAGAATATTTTAGATTGTCAGCTGAATTGTCAGTGAGTAATGATTCAAATTCAATTCCTGTCTTTATGTGTGTTTTTTAACTTAGAAAAAAAGAACTTTTGTCAAGAGATGATTTAGAATTGCCCTGGAGACCACTTTATGAAATGCTGGAACGTATATTGTATTCTAAGACAGAACATCTTGGATTGAATTGGTTTCCAAAGTAAGATTTTAAAGGTTTTGTTTTATTTACACAATATCCTCACATTGCTCTTATATTGAATTTTGTTCCTTGTGATTTATATGTTTTCTTTCATTGATCTGAATCTACATAAATTTTAAATAATTTCATTTTTCTTTTACAGCAGATGTTCATTTTTCTTCTGGTTTTTTCCCCATTTTTCCAGCAACATGGTCATATTTTATTAAAGGAATACTTTAGCTATTTTAAAAAAATGTTTAGTCCTTCCAGATCTGAGTTACAAAAATCCAAGGAGCATTAATGGCAACAAAAACTTACAGTTCTTGGTGGATTTTTATAGTCCAGATATGATAGCCCTATTTCGGAGAAAAATATTTTTCAGACTTTATAAGATATGAAATGAAAACTGACCATTCACATTCCCAAATAGAGAAGTACATAAGCCTTATATCAACACTTTGTAGGTTTACTGGAGAGTTTAATGAATTAGGAAATATGGGTATGTAAATACTATCCCAGCAAATAAAAACTTCCTTTGTGCTTTTTATTCAGTGTAGATAGGTTATAGATTTGAGGAATGAGAACTTTGAGAGTTGGGAATGCATTTGGCCATATTCCTTCCCTGCTTTTAGGCCTTGTATGAGTAGACCGAATGCCTGCACAAAACTAGAATCTATCCACTTTTGGAAACTAATGCTTTGGTAGAGACAAGGCATATTTTAGATGCTCTTTGCATATATGATGATCAGGTTTTAATCTATTGAATTTTTAGGTAACGGCATTATGGATTATAAGACTAGAAAAGTCCTTTACTTTATGCCGATGCCATCAAAACAGATGTTACTGAGTTGGTTTTATCTGATTTAACATGTAACATTGCTTCTATCTACCTCCATGAGGAAAATTCCTTTCTCAACTTTGAATGGCTGGGGTTTATCCTATACAGTACAGTAATTTTATTCTTAGAATATTTAGCTATTTAATGCTAAGGGACAATGCTTGAAACAGATATATTTCTAGCCTTGCTGCTGCTTACAGTCTTTTAAACAATGACACTAATAATTGAATTTTTAACTTATTTTGTAAAACATGTACTTCCAAGTTAATAATTTTGCCCTCAGTCAGGCAAACTGAATTAATAAATAATAAAATTTTTGGTGCTTAGTCTGCCTTTGAACAACAGATTCCCGGATACAAACTGAAAAGGGACTAAAGGGAAAGCAATAAATGCCAAAGCAACCTTTCCGTTTTTCAGGCAAGCTGGTTTTGAAATTAAATGGTGCAGTGCGACTTTTTCTTTCATGGTGTTCTGACAACATTGCTTATAATTTATATTTCACTTTAGATGAATTTGGAAGAATGAATTAAAAATAAAAGGAGTATGAATAATGATTTTTGTGGCTTTAGCATTACTTGGTTTAAATGCTACAATTGCTTTTTTCATTATTTTGTTTTAAAATCTTTTTTTCTTTATGTTCAGTTCATGTCGACCAGGCTTGTCTTCACCTAAAACATTTGTGCTTAATGTTTTACATAGGTGGTAAGGACAATTATTTTGCTTTTATGTAGCTCTGGCCTATATGTTTTCTTTGTGCATGGCCTGTTCAATTGTAACATTTGTCATGTACCTGTAACTTCCTGCATATAAAACTGAAAAATCCAATGTTAACATGACACCACAATTTATGGGAATGTCGCACTGTATTTAAATTGAATTACAATAAAATATATGTGTGTGAAGTGGCTGAAAAGTATAGCTACTTGCTAATTGCCTGTTAACAACTAAGTTATATTTTAGGTGCCTAACAAATTATACTTGATTTTATGCATAATTTGTAGAATATTCTAGAAATGCATGAATTTAATTCAGTACGTAGGTTGGTAAAATGACTAAAAATGTAGAATAAGAGTTATTTGAATTTAAAATAATATTAGCCTATACCTGCAGTTCAGTTTGTGATAACAATACACACTAACTTAAATGTAATTAATTGCCATTACAGTATAACAGATTATTTGCTGTGGAAATTTTTTTTAACAACAAACAGTTTAGACAAATGCTCACTCACTGCATTCACTCAGCTTGCTTAACCTTGTCAGCCACTAACTAACTCAATCATACCTTCTTACTATTGAAGTTTGTATGACACAATGACATCATCTGAGTCTAGGATTTGGGAATTCAGTGACTGCTGCCAGGTATCCAGGAGAATATTGGCAAGGCTTTACTACATCAGTGGCTTCTTCAATTCAGCGGGCGGTATTGGGCATGGCTTGGATGCTTCCAACCAATCATTTTTGGAAGCTTGGCAGCAGGCTATATAATAGAGTGCCTTGCATTTTCAGTCACTCACACTCCCTTCCCTTCCACTATCTTTCCCTGGAATATTAAGTAGATGGATGTTGAACACAGCCCCTTGATGGACTAGGTTTTTAAAGCTGTACAATGGTGAACTTGGGAAAAAATGAGACTTAATAATTCCCGTCAGAAAGCAACATGGCTTATTTATCATATACAAGTAGTTCTTGCTTAACATCTGCCCTGTTTAGCAACCATTTAAAATTACACCAGGTTGAAAAATAATTTTACGACCGATTGTCACACTTAAAATAATTACAGCATCTCCACAGTGACATGATCAAAATTTGGATTTTTTTGCAACCAGTAGGCGTTTATGACTATCTCCAGAGCCTGCAGTCATACTTCGTTTTAGCAATGTTCTGTGACTTTAGAGACAGAATTGCCTTTTGATTTATCAGGTATTTATGATTTATTAAAAAAGAGGTTGGATAACAAGGGTTTTACAGTTAGCGTTTGATTAGCTTCTTGCTTCTACATTTTTGCCTCTTGGGTAATTTAACTCCTAGAATCCTTCTAGCTGAAGGATATTATTTTGTAGGCAGAAAACCGTTACTGAGTTTCTACTGTTTCTTTTTCAGATCAGCTAGTATGAATGGAAATGGCTTAAATTAAAACATAATTTAATATTACTAGAAGTTTCACTCTCCTGAGTGCAGTGCAGTGCAGTATAGATTTGAATATTAATCTTATTATTATTGTGCCAGAAGAATGTTGCTTATTTTTGTACTGTTACTTAAGTCTAGTAAGTCATAGGTACACTCAGGACTAAGATTGTTAAAATAAAAAAGAAATGGCATGCATATGGTTTTTTAAAAATAAAATCAATCTTCTAAAATATAGCACTATTCTTGCTTAAAAACCTTAAAGAAATAAGTGCATGAAAAATCAGTAAAGAATGTATTTTTTTTTTATTTTTAAATGTTTCTACCGATCCTTTCAAGTTGGAGAACTTTTTAAATAATTCAAAATTAATTCAATATTAGAAGTTCCCAAATAACTGTGAAATGTAGTAAGAAAGCAGTAGCAACTATATACACAGCCAGAGAGAGAGAGAGAATATCTAAGGAAAAATATTTTAAAATTACAGTTATTGTGATAAAGTCTGTTTTCTGGTGAGGGCACTTCAGAAATCTGACACTATGATAATGAAGGTCCATAAACATATCTAACTGTATTTATGAAGATAGGAACCTCTCTTAGTTACTCTCTGAAATAGGCAATTTAATAAAGGAAAAATGAGTTGTTAAAATACTTTGATCCTTAACCATTTAAAGTCTGATTGCAGAGATATTTTTAATTAACGGGATTTTTTTTGTTTAATATTCACTAATGTAATGAGATCTCAGAAATGTGTATTGTGAATGATACCACTTTATTTGAAGATTACAAGTAAGATGAAGGTTCACTTTTGCAGAGGTAGACTTGTGGTTTACAATAAAACTAATTTTCCAGAAGCATGAATTCTTACAGCAGAGTCATTTTTATCTTATGTTTCTGATACCTCAAAAGATCTGATAGGAGACACTTTGAAATGCATATGCCATTTTAATTCTTGACAAAGACATACTCTACTTAAAAGTGTTCCTTTTATGTGAATTGCAACAACATTCTGTATAACTGAGCTGTCATGTCTGAATTAGATAGGAAAAATCTGATTGCTACAAGAATATTGTTAATCCTATAATCCAAATTTCTAGACTTATTTTTCTAATTGCTAGGGTGTTAGAATTCACGGAAAACAAATAAAGCAATGTGGAACTCTGTAGCAAAATTATTTTGTGAAAAAAATCAGATTAGTTCGCCAATACTTTTTGAAACATATGCATCAGATGAGATCAGAATCATGTAAAGCATTTATCTCAGTGTAGGTAGCCAGTCCAGAAGACAATTTGACAAACTGTAAAGAGGTTTCAGTGCCAAAAGTGCATCAGAAAACAGCTTGAAATAAGACTAGATAATCCGTATTATAGAGCATTTTGAAATAAGCCATTGCTTGAGCGCCCTTGAATGCTCTTGTCAATAGACACAACAATTCTCCAGGCATACCTCCTTTGGACATAAGACAAGGCTTTTAAAAACTTGTAGCATCTCAAAATGTGTTAACAGCGAAAATAATTGGCAAGTAAGTTTGCATGTGTGATGCAGTATTTTAAACTTGATTTAGTATTATGTGAGTTTTTGTTTTTAAAAACTGAAACACACTCAGTGTAGTATTTGGGATACAAGGAAAAAAATAATTCCATATGTGGCCCAAGCAGTACTCTAGGGGAAATAGAAGCAAAATCAAAAATAAAGTGTAATACTTGTAAGTATGCATCTTTTAGTAAATTTAACTGCTGCGTGTACATATTTAATGGGAAATTGAATCAATGCCATCTTAGGCTTTGCATAATTATATAACTATATTCTTCTTCTAAAGTAAGATACTGTAATTTATTTACCATTTCCCTCCTTTTTTCTCTTCTTTTAGCTCAGTAGAAAGTGTTCTGAAGACTCTTGTGAAAAATTGTAGACTGTAAGTACTTTAACCATTTTCAATTTCTGTGTACTTTTTAAACTATTTGATAGTGAGACTACCTTCCACATATGTAGCTATCTTTTTTATGAAATTGAAAAAAACTATGCATTTATAGGGCCTTGTTGCCAGTAACAGGAGTCCTCTGGTTAAGTTGTACCTTCAGTGGTGGAGTAGAAAATTGTGTCAAATAAATGCGTTGCTTAGAATGCCAACAAGGTTTAGCTAAAAAAGTTTGGGAATCTCCCATTACTGAAAATTATCCCTACTTCATATATGAGGGACCACAAGGGACTGGATAAAGTGACTATTTGACATTTACACTTCCATGATTATATTTCAAGATATCTCTTGCATTATTTTAAAGTGTTTTAAAATTTGCAGAATTGCAGAAATTACAATGCATGTGTCTTAAATAACAAGGAGTTTAAAGATATAACATATTTTTGACTCATTTAATTGTAACACACCTATAAAAGAATATGTGTAGCTCAGGATTGAAATGAGGGGGCCTTGATTCTCTCTGAGCTTAGTTGTTTTCTTGCAGACGTTTCATTACCCAAACTACAGTAGATAACATTATCAGTGAAACATCTCCAAGAAAACAATCAGACTCAGAGAGCACCAAGCACCCCTCATTTCAACTCTAAGCTACAAATATTCTCCTTTATTGGGAGAGGATTCTCTTGGATGAAGAAGTCTAATTATGAAATGCCCTACTTACTGTATGAGACAAAGCTGGCAACTGCAGTGATTTCCATGCTGTGAATATCTAGCTAGTAGATCATTGGTCTCAGAAACATGTTTAATTTGTACTTTTTTATTGTTATTATTGTTTCTTAATGAATTGTATTTCAGATTTATTGATAGGGATTACTTATAAGTAAGTAATACATGTTGATGCAAAAATCCTTCTTGTTAGTTATTTCCCAGAAAGTGCCACAGCAGAGATGTTAGATGAATGGCGGCCATTAATGTGCCCTTTTGATGTCACCATGCAAAAAGCTATCACTTATTTTGAACTGTTTCTACCTACCACTCTTCCTCCAGAGTGCCATCACAAAGGTTTTAAGTAAGTTGCTTTGCAGCATTTTATATGATGTTCTATTTCATTTAAAGCTGATGTTTGTGAACTTGGACTTTACTATCACATATAATAATTACTATTGTACTGCCTTGCTACATTTGTTTTGAATGCTAAATTTTAAGGGACAAAATTTTACCAATTCACCTAAAATTGCTTCTCTAGAAACAGTAGTCTAGTCTAGTGGGGTGGTGGTGTTCTGTTAAAAGTATGTATTCAGTGAAGTTCTATCAATACTGTTGCTTAATTCAGTTCTTGATAAAATTCTAAAAATTGTGGAACTTTATTAATTTGTTAAACCAACTATAATAAAAACTCTGAAGCAAAATTATATTGAAGTTCTGAGCCTTAACAAGTCAGTCCTCTTGGTGCCCTGTTTTTGGATCAAATTCCAGGGCCTGTGTCCAGATATTGTGAGGTTGCTCAATTGCCAGAACCTCAAGAAGAGAAAAAAACTTATTGTACTAATAATGCCTTTCATTTTACAAAAGTGAAAATGTCTTCTAAGCTTAAGGGGCCTTTTGGAATGCTTTGCCATGTGCAGAAATCTGACTAATGTCACTTCCTGTCACTGATGTGGTTAAATAAGTTTGGCATCTTTGGCACACTTCGTGTAATGTATGACTGCTTAGTAATGTAATATTACATTTCAAAGTTTCAGAAATAATACAGTGAATTAATTTAATCTCCTTGTGACAGCTCGGATTCAATCAAGACTTCTTACCAACACTTCACATATCCATGCAGAAACACCAACAAACACTTTGTTTTAGTAAGCAGAAGTGATAGTTTAGTTTTCCATAAGAAAATGTTGTAGGAGAAGGAGCTGTTGAGCTACATTTCTTTTTCCACAAAGGAAAGGAAGAACTAGGAAAACGTTGATGTAGAAGGTGTAAAGATTGGCTTCTAATATGGGTCTAGACAATAATGGCTTTGAAAAATTGTTATTTTAATGAAAAGTAATGTGGGCTGATTTTTCTAACTTAGAAAGGATGGTATATCATATTGGATGACAAAGCCTTGTTAGCTTCAGGGGATGTCCAGAGGAGATTGCTAAAGAAAGTAAATTGGCTGAGAGTCAGAAGAAGACTCACTGAAGACTTGAAAAGGCAACTGTATTGTGGACTTGCTACTCAATGCTGATGAACTTCCAAGGAGTATAGGTAGATTGAAGAGGCCACATACTGCCAATCAGTCAAGCTGTGCCAGATGGTACCAGAAATAATTCCAACAATATCCTTAAAGTAGAATATAGGTCAGGGGTAAGAAACAGCCATGCAGATGTACTGGTTAGGTTAACCTAATTTGAAAATGCAGTAGGAGGAAATTTAGGCTGCAATCTTGAGCACTGAAAAAATATGTTGCAATACCCTTTTAATCTCAAGTTGCAAATATCTTGAGAAAGAAAGTCTTGAGAAAGAGTTGGAACAGAAGTCATGCCTTGTTTACCAGTAAATAATCTTAGCTAAACAATATAGTGAAATCAACAGTCGCTTGCTTACTTTGATGTGTTTTCTAAATAAATGGAAAAAAGTTCCAAAGTTATGGCACTATGTTCCCTCTTCAAGTATAGAGAATTTCTAAAAGTCCCTGGGATATTACTTTTGTTAGTAAAGTATGCTTACAGAGACTGGACAGGACTGTATGACAAGTGCCCAAGAAAACTTTAGGTTGATGAGGCAAGGGACATTTTTCTCTGCTCTGCGGATTGTGGGAATATTATCCCACCCATTTGACCAATTCTGCTTTCATCTTCTTATCAAAGGATGTGTTCACTTGTCAGATCAAGGTCTGGGAGGTAGTTTTGTAGTAAGAAATGAAGCTTTCTTCAAAAATTAAACAAAATTGCTATCCTGAGTTGAGAGGTGAATTTTAATGCATGGAAGTTTATATTCTTGTATATTATTCTCTGAATTATCTAGTATGCAGTTTGGGAGTTTTAGATATATTGCTGGCCAGAGAAGCTAAGACAGGAATTTGTTTGTTTGTTTGTTTGTTTGTTTGTTTTTGTCAATAGGGACTCAAAAGAACAGATCTTGCATAGTTATCTGTGAAATAATGGTTTGCATTGATTGGGTACAGTAAATGACCTAGCAGTTTTAACATCTACTGCAGTGGTCTAGAATCACAAACAGAACCTTCATCTATAATAGTCTTTTCTGCTATTTAAAATCATTTAAAATCAGCTTTAAAGGTTTGTATGCTTGCCTACAAATATGATCAGATTGCAAACTTAGAAAATAAGGCCTGCCTTATTCTGGTTTAGTTTAAGTTGGTATTGCCAAATCATGGCAAATATTTAATAAGGTTCATATTTTAAACTTTTATTTATATTTTGTTACTCAACACAAATGTCAACATAAAATGTCAATTTTTTCCTAACCGACTTCTAAAATTCAGTTACAAAAAATTGAAATGTCAAGGAGCCTCAAGTGTTTTAATCATTACAAAGATTAATGAAAGTACACACTGTATTTACAGAGTGCTTAATAAGAAATTGATGTATTTCTTTTCTGTGTGTGCATGAAGGCTGAAATTTTCCTTTGTCTTTTTGAACAATTAAGGCAATTTTAGTTCTCGTGTGTTGTTTGCTTCAAAATTGAGGAAAACCGAGTCACTGATTATCTGTAATTCACTGATGAAATTTGGTGGTGTGGTTTAAGAGATATCTGGAATCACAAAAAAGGACTCCAGGTTACCCACCCCAATATAAACTATGCTCTTGAAAGCCTGTGCTGTAGGACTTTCAGAGAAGACTCAGCAGACAACTGTTGCAGCATGAAGAGCCAGTGAGTAGATTGTCTCTTTGCATTTCCTCTGCAGACAAGCAAAGGACTTGAAATCACTCAAGTACTCCATAAAATTGCTCCTCAAGAGGACATCGTAACACAGTGATCTGTGGTAGCGTTAGAACTGTGGGAGACAAGGGAATAACTATTTTTCCCTCAAACTGCAGTCATTGCCTTCAGAAAGACACTAAATTTGAATAATTCCTGTTCTAACCACTTTTGGAAATTGTTAGCTGCTTTTCAGTTATTAACAATCTTTGAATCAACACACTTTATATAGCACTGGATGAATTTTTTTCAATATGTAGCAAAAAACGTTTTAAATGCAAGTTAATTTTTTTCTGTTGAAAAGAGTGAATTAGATTTTGATTTCGGAATGTTACAACTAAATTAAAGGTATAGATCAGGGGTCTAACTCCCGGTTTGGCCCAGTTTGACTGAACGGGTAGGGACAATTGTCGTTGGTTCTGAGAACCAGTAGTAAAAAAAAAGCTTCCAAGGATTGCGTGGCTCGGAAGCTTTTTTCCCCGCCTTTTAAAGTATTTTTTTTNTGTTTGAGAGAGGGGGGAGGGAGGGAGAGAGGGAGGAAGGAGGGGAAGGGAGAAGAAAAAGAAAGAAGGAAACGTATTTAGCAAAGGGAAAAAAACAAATGCTATCGCTTTAAATTGGAACTGAGCATGCCTGGCTGTGGAATTCTGGGAGTTGAAGTTCACAAGTCTAAAAAAAATTCTGCCTCATTAGGCATAAACCTCACCGCACGTCACTGGCATATGCGTATTTATATACATATACACATACACAAACACACACACACAGACACACACACACACACACACACACAAATATAAATGGTGTGTGTGTTTATCTTCCAGCATAATTCTGGAACGCCTTGAGCAATTTCAACCAAACTTGGTACACAGATGACTTATTCTCTGGAAACAAATACGGGTGTGTGTGTAAGACACCCCTAAAATCTCTCGGGGTGTGTGTTCTGTTAAGATGCAGCCTGATGTGCCTTAAAATGGCTTCTACTGTACAGTGCAGTGGAGTTGCCATGGCAATGGCTTCATTGTACTCCACAAGGGGCTCCCTCTGGTAAGGGGGGAAATCCAACATAGAATGATATTTGGTCCTGATATTTTCCCCCTATAAATAAATACCCGGGCAATCCTGGGTTATCGGCTAGTTATATATATATATTTTAAATCAATATTAAAATGTTTTAAACAGAGGCAACACAATTCCAGTTTTGATGGAAATCAACACTATTTTTAGAAGTGGGCAAAAAGGATGAAGCAGAGAAAAGGCCTTCAACAGAGAAAACTGAAGTAAGAATAAAAATGGTGAAATTATTTCAGATGAAAATTGACAATAGAACATATACAGTTATTTTAGAGACGTGTGGCAGAATTATATGATACATCAAGGAGTGAACCTGAAGTGAATAAATGTGAATGTCCAAGGCAGAAAATTATAATACAAATATGTTGTATGGAGAAATGGTAATGTAGATGTGTCATTAGGCTTATGTGGTAATGTAGATGTGGATATGATTTGCTTATGGAAAACCTGGGTGGCTTATGAAATCTTGAGACGGGCCTGTTAATTGGACGAATGATGTTATTTTTTTCCCCTCCATACATAAGAAAACGTAGCAAGGATGAATGCCTTTGTCTGTTACTAGGCCTCCTGGGAAGATATTGGGAAAGCATGAGAAATGACAATGAGCGAAATTTAAGTGGCATATTGTTACATTGAGCAAAGTGCACGGAGAGAAGATTCTTGCCCTTCAGAAGGTCACTGAAGAATATTTGAATGAAAAAGTTAACGGTAGGTAGGTAGGTAGGTAGGTGTGTGTGTGTGTGTGTGCATGCGTGCGTGTGTATACTACATGGCCACATGATGGCAATATTTTCTTGGAAACCATACAAGCACATTTGAATTATATGTTTAGTATCTTTATTCCAAAACTTACTTTATTTGTAATTCTAAACTATATAAAAATATAGAATGTTTTGCTTTGGTATCTATGCAGTCAGCATTCATCAAATCACACTATGTCAAGCTGTCATACTCGATTCATGCTGAAAGCCCAATTATGTGAACCAATTTCAATCCCCCCTTTGGCTAGCTGGCTGCATTTTAGGCCACTGATTTCTTCCTGTCATTCACTGGGCTTCCCAATTTGGATCAATCTTC